CCAGGGAAACGATGGGAGTCAGAGATGGGGCCCCAGCCGAGACACTCCTCCCAGCCTTTCCTCCTCCCTCTTCCTAAGAGCCACTCTTCAGTGCTTCCCTTCTATTCAAAAGGAAGTTCTGGGGTTAGGGGGTTGGGGTCAGGGTGCTGTCCCCTCATCCCCTGTCCTCTCCTTTCCTTCCAGTCCCACCCCAGCTGCTCTATTGGCAAAGCCACTTGTCACCTCAGACACAGCGGCCTGAAACTCCTAGTTGCTAGGCAACCCCATCTCCCTGGCCACCCCCTCCTGTTGCCATGGCTTCCATGACTGAGAGGGTAGCTGGCAGAGGGGAGCGCAGAAAGGTTAGACTGTGAAAGGACTTCCTGGAGCAGGGTGAGAGACGCCTGGCTGGGTGGGGGGCGACTTGGGAGGGAGGAGATGGGAGAGGCTGCTGGCTGCATCTTTGGAAAAGCCACCAGACTGGTGAGGGTAGGGTCATAGAATTTTAAGCAGTTAGAGATTCTGCCTAGGAAGGAAAGGGTGCTCCAGGAGAGACAGGAGGCTGTTCTCTGGGGATCCTTCAGTCCGGAAGCATGGTTTCCCCAGTCACGGGATCTGGGCCTAAGGAGGGGCTGTGTGGGGTTCCCATCATGGCCAGTGGAAGTAGTTGTCCAAATGGGAAAATCGACATGTGCACCCCCTAACCACTCCTACATCCTCACACTCAGAATCTGTCCCTTGATCAGCTGTACCTGAGGGCCCTGGGGGCCTCAGGTCTGAGGGACCGAAGGAATTACTCACCTGCCAAGGGGTGCTGCCCCCAGGCCAAGGCTGTCCTCCGAATGGCAGGGGCTAGGGGGCGCCCTTCCTGGGGCCAGCTTGGCTGCAGCCTCTGCCTCCTCCTCCTCCCCTCTCTGTGTCCAAGGACCATCAGCAGCAGAGCTGGTACCAGAATCCGGTTCGAGGGGGGCAAGTGGGGCGGGAACAGGTGGATCGGGCCGGGGAGCAGGAGGTTGGGGAGGCAGCTCGAAGGTGAAGAAGGGGCTCTGGGTTGGGCCGGGTGAGGCCAGGGCCTCCAGCGAGGCGAGGCTGGTATAGGAGGTGCCCTTGGCCCGGTGTGACTCCAGGATGGCTTCAAACACACAACTGAAAGAGTCAGGCCCATCAGCAGAGGGACTGGTCCCAGGCAGAAAGGGCACGGGAGACTTGAGAGGCCCAGCATGAGGCATCCGGCTCCCTGGTCTGTGGGGGCAGGGAGAATCTGATCAGGGGCCCAGAGCACAGGTCCTGGACAGGATTTCATTGAACTCTCACACCGACTCTGTTAAGGGGATTATCATTCTTTCACAGGCTCCCACCCCCTAAAAAGAGAGCTGGCTGGGTAGAGAGGCCAAGCTATTCCTTGGGAACCCTGGCCCTACCCGTCCCCAGCACCCAATCTCCTCTTCCTTTCCCTCCCCCCTGTCTAATCTCCCCTTCTCCCCCTTTTCCCTGATCCGCTTCCCTCCTGCCATCCAATTTCTATTTCTGGCAACATCTTAGGAGAAGATGAGGCTCCAAGCTGCAGTGGGGTGTGAGACAGAAAGGAAAGCCCCCACACTCCCTACTCTCCTTCCAGGCAGGACCCGGGCTGGACTGGTGCTCCCGTGCCCCAGGCTTGGTTCTGGCCTTTAGTCCCTCACCCTGCCCCTGTCCAGCCAGAACTCCTTGCCTCCTCTGTCCTGGCTTCCCCTGACCCTCCCGGGTTCCTGCTGGTCTCCCACATCCCCACAGTTCTGCCAGGCCTCAGGCCTCTGCCTGAAATTCCTG